CAGAAAATCACCGGGAACGGATGGTATACCCAATGAACTTTTAAAATATGGAGGCCGGAACTTGCAAGTAAACTGGCACAACTATTTAACAAAATATTAAACAAAACAGAAACAATGAGGAATGGCATAATAGTATCACAATCCCCATATTTAAAAAAGGACAAAAAACCTGCCCACAAAACTATAGAGGAATAACCCTCTTAAATACAACAATGAAACTTTTCACGGGTATTCTCAAGGACAAATTGGAAAAGCAAATCACTAATGCTGAAGAACAACAAGGTTTTACAAAAGGGCGGTCTATAACAGACGCAGTATTTATAATAAAACAAATAAAAGAAAAAGCTATAGAGTTCGGCATGCCAGCGTATATTTGCTTCATTGATTTGACGAAGGCATTTGACAGAGTTCGCCTGGGAGACATTCTAAATATATTAATAGAAAATGAAACACCGACCAGTATAACAAAGATACTCCATAACCTAAATAACAACAACGTAACCAAAGTTAGAGCAGGAGACGAATTCACTGAAAATATTTCAACACCGGGAGGAATTAGACAAGGCGACAGTTTAAGCCCCTTCTTGTTTAATCTTCTCATGGGCAAAATTATCAACAAAGTAACATCTCTTAATCTTGGATATAGAATGGGCAACAAAAGAATTGGTATGGTGTGTTACGCAGACGATGCAGCAATTATTGCCGAATCAGAAGATGATCTCCAAAGGCAGCTCTTTCAGTTCTTTCAAACAAGCCGACTACTAAATATGAACATCTCTACCAACAAAACTAAATGTATGACAATAGCAAAAGATCCGCTCAGATGTAAGTTAGTGGTTGAGGACAACCCCATAGAACAGGTGATGCAATTCAGATATCTGGGCATAGATATATCAAGCACCCACGACCCAGTAAAGGACCTGAGGAGTCAGATCAACAAAGCATCTGCACTGTCAGGATGTCTGCGGGAGATAGTCTGGTCAAATCCGTATATGCGCACAGATAGTAAAATTAGAATCTATAAGACTTGCATACGACCGATCATGACATATGGCATAGAAGTGCGCGAAGATACCAACAAAACGAAACAGATGCTAAGGGTTGCCGAAATGAAAACCCTAAGAACAATAATGGGGAAAACAAGAAGAGACAGAGTGAGAAATACAAACATTAGAGAGCAGTGCAAAATTCAAGATATTGTAAGATGGGGAAGGCAGCGCAAGAGGATGTGGTACAACCATGTAAGACGAATGGATGAGAATAGACTCCCAAAAATTGCCCTAGAAAACAATCCGCCCGGTTCAAGACCCCCCGGAAGACCACCTAAAAGATGGAGGGATAGTTTGCAATCTACCTCCCAAGAAATTAACCAGAGGCAGCTTCAGAATTAAACAGATCGAAAGATCTACAAAAAGTAGAAGAAGAAGAAGAAGAGGTTGTTAATTGCTGCTTCTTTTAGTATTTGGCGAAACTTAAAATAGAGAGAGACACATACAGAGAGAGAGAGAGAGAGAAATAATTTATAGCTTTAAATACTTGGGAGCTGTAAATTACCAAGGATAAACTAAAGACGAAATAAAACAAGTATAGCCATGAAGACATTAAGGTCAAATATAATTTCAAAGGAGTCTAATGATTTGTGTATAAAACCGTAAAAACAATAATTTTTGCCAGCGAAACCTGGTATAAACTGGATATATGATAGTGTAAAATATTAACTACAAGAATTTATGGCGGTTGAAATAGAGGGAAAGTTTTTTGATGTAGGCTTTGTATCTAGTTGAATTTTTGGAAAAGAAGGATTAATGGTGAATTATATCACATCCGAATACCCAAAATTACAAGTTATATTAGGGAGCAAAGGATAAGATGGATAGGCCATAATTCAAAAAAGAGAGCAGAAGATGGTCTGAAACGCCTTAAAGTAAAAAAAGTGGACCAATAGTGCTAGAGATAGGAAAAGATAAAGAGAAAATATACTATTATAACTCCACATCTTTTATTTTTCCTGTTCTTTCTATGATACTATCAATTTTTGTCTCAAATTGTTTGAATAATAAATACTGAAACAGATAGCTTTGCAACTAGCAATAAAATCTTGAACCTATAGGTTTAAGTTGTTACTATCTACAAATTCGTTTGTATATATAGATTCATTTTTGAGATCGAATCAGTTTTGTGTGTAGTTTAATGTTGAACTTTGACTAACATCATTCGGTCTTGGCAGAATTGATATATTTTCGAAGTATTTATTACTTAGTCTATCGAGCAATATTTGTGTTTTGCTTTTTTTAACTTTTTACTGTTTTATCTATGTAAATATACAGTTATATCTATGTAAAGCTTATAAACATGATTATTATCTTTAAAATTACAACATTCATAAAAGTTTAACAACCATTTACCTACTGCTTTTTTGTGTCTTACATACACGGAATATAAATGTATTTATTCATATTGACAGCAATATTGTCGTATTTCTAAGGAATTTCTTATGCGTTATGTTTAGCTGCACACGTTGGCGGTTGTCTGTACTCTTCGAAACAATTCTTCTTTTTTATTTCAGTCGAGACACGTTTATGTCTGCTACGTGGTCATAAGACCTTTGTTTTCTTTCCATTTACCTCCACTAAGTCCTGTGGCCTCAACGAATCGTGAATTCTTAGTTGGTTACCTAATTAATTCCTGTTTTATATCAGTTAGCACATTGCATTGGCATAAGATGCATAAGATTTTGTATAGGTGTTTTCTTAACCAACAATATCCATTTTAATTTCTCGTTTTATCAAATTGTCCGAGAGTTTTTATCAATATTCTTGATTATATTATTTTTTAAATCTGAATTTGCGTTTGAGTGGCAGGCTCTCCATTTTTATGATTCCTTATCGGTCACTTTTTAACCTCGTTTTTTGTAACATGTTTGGTGATGCCACATAATGATTCTTGATGTACAGATTCTCTCCAGCCTTATTTTGCCAATAAATGTACCCCTTCATGACCCGGTACCATATTAGACCTTTTATTGTCTTTTGCTAGGTTGTTGAGAACAGCTTTGCAGTTCCTCACCAGTTTTGATTTGGTGAGCGGGTTCTTTACGACCAGGATAGCCGCTTGGCTATCTGAATAAATGTTGATTCGTTTTGATTTGAGGTCTCCATCCATGATTTCATCAATGCAGGCCACCAAAGCAAAAATTTTACATTACATTACATGCTTGCCCAAAGACTGCTGATCTAGTACCATGGGTAATTTTACATCCATCAGCGAACCAGATTAATGCTTGGGAGTTTTTGTTCTCTAGATAGTATAATTGTATTAGGGCAAGGAGAAGTACTACCGCTCACTGGGTAATGGCGATCACCTCTGTAACTATGTTAAAATGTGACGTAGCAATACGTAACGTCGCGTGAAGCACGAGGAAAAGGGACCTCTAACAGACAGCGATTCAAACATTTCAAACGGATAGTCAGCTCGTTCTATGCGACCGTGAAGTGCATTTGTTCGTGTCTGTCCGAAATTATCTAATTTTTGGTTACGTGTTTTTTATCGGTAAGTAAAAAACTTTAATAATTATTTAAATATTAATTTTACTTTTCTGACAATAAAACCATTCGATTTTGTAATACTTGAATCAAGTTTAAACAATTGTGTATGTTTTTTTATAAATTTAAATTAATTACAAAACGATAGTTTGCGATTATACCGCTCACCTGAGCGCCATTACCCCTTGGTGATATATTTTATTATTATTGTAGATATTTTAATAAATCGTCAAAGGACCACTCCTAAAGCGGGTTGGGCCGTAGAAGATCTTCAATCTGCTAAAGCTGCTGTTGAAGAAAGTTTGTCCAAAAAAAAAGCACCAAGACAATATAACACACCATTTACCACATTAAGAGATCGACTGAAAAATGAAACCATGCGCAACCGAAGACTAGGTCGCAAGCCTGTTTTCACCCAACAGCAAGAAATTGAAATTGCTGAACAAGTTAAGTTGCTGGGTTTTTATATTATAGACTTATGTGGCTGATTTACGTAAACTTGAATGTAAATATGCTGAGCTCAAAAATATCAAACACAAATTTTGATCAAAGCAGCAAAACAGCTGGATTGTATTGGGTACACACCTTTATGAAACGCAATCCTTCAGTTTTTATATTCTAAGCTGAAGCGACAAGCTAAAATGGAATTTCTACTTTCAACAAAGAAGAAATAACCTATTTCTATGATAAATTTTGCGACTTAATAGAAAAGCATAAGCTTACGACATTAGGTAATGTAAGTCGATAAAACCTCACCAACTACAGGGGGTCATATAAGATGCCCCCAGTTTCATTTTTTAATATTACACAATTTAAGAGTCTATTGCATTTACCTGAATAAATAACATGAAGATTATTTTTTAAATCCAGATGTCCATCGAATGTTTTTTATGTGGCCACACAATGTTTTTTCAACAACTTTTTATTAAACTGACGATGGAATGATACAATTCCGAAAAGATCTTCTTTATAATAAAAAAATTTTAAGCTTTTAATAAGCGCTTTTTTTATACCTTAATACACACGAACACCACGTGCTTTGTATTCAACAGGTATACTAGCCACTCCTGGATATCTCCACTTCATGGTTTGTTCCAGTTTCACTTTAAAAAAAAATAGATCTAACACAATATTAAATAAATGTGCCTAAAATACCATAAATTTTTGTATATGGACGATTAACCAATTTTATTTGTATCTAATGTTTGCAAAATTTAATTGAAATAAAACGTTTAGTAAAAAACAAAGGTAAGCAGTAAAAACTGAACAGACAAGGTACGCATTTTTTCTTAGAAACGACCCTTGTAAATCGGAGTTATGATTTTACGGATATTTCTCAGAATTAAGTTTAAGTGCTTGTAACCAGCCAGGTTAGGATCTGCCCTACTTACCTGTAAAGTGAAATGAACTCGATGGAATGTGACATAACACAAAGGTATAAATAGACCAAGTGAAAAAATGGATTTGTTTAATTTTATTCAAATAAACATATAAAAATATAATTGTTTAAATTACATAATTAATACTTTGATAGTAATGTTAGAATTTATATTTTTATATTAAACATCTATGAGTATAGAATAAAAGTATATATAATTACTAAAAAGTTTGACAACAAGGTGTTATTTCCAATTAACCTTCCGTAGCTAACAGCCGGTCTGTGAGACCGTCGATAATAATTATCGGCTATATTTTAAGAACTTGCGAACTTACACGTTTATTTAACTTGTTACAGGGCTAAAACATATGTCAACAGAATCGCACAGACATCGACATTTATGCGGTTGTTTGAATTATCAGTACTTTAAGTTTAACTTTAAGGTTTTAATTTTAATAACTTAAGTTATGGTGATAGTTGAGGTTTTGTTCATGTGACATGAAAAAAATTAAAATGAGAAAAAGAACGAATTCAAGTGGGTATTTATATTTGTTAGATATGATAATCGGAAACGTGCATATGACAAAGTAAGACATGTTTTCAACGACTTAAACCCCGTCGACTCCTCCTATAAGTAATAGTATCGAGAATAATAAATTTGATGAATCTGGTAGCTTAAAGGGCCGTTCAAAGCCCAAATTGCAACTACTGGTAATAAAACTTTAGATGTCCTCTTAAACGATTAGAAGAATTCTAAAACGTCTACAAGTGAACTGGCAAGAAGTCATGAGATTTACAGAATGTCTATACAATCCATTTTATATAAAAATATCTTTCCTTATCGGAGTTTTGTGACAATATAACAGAAAATTAAGACAAAAAATAATATCTTCGATTTTGTTGTATTCATTGATAAATAATCCTTACTGGATGGATTATATTGATAAAAACATTTAGAAAAAGTTAATGTCTAGGCAGGTGTGATAAAAAACTATTGTTTTTTATGGATACCATCTCCGAAATCAAATTATACGTGAAGTAAACCGTTTGCTTAAAAACATGGACGTATATTTTCAACAAAATGGTACATCCCCACATTATCTGAGGCAATATTTAGATGTAATTTTCACTCCGAGATAGATTAGTTGAAGAGGTGTGATTGAGTGGTCGACAAGATTACCCGACTTGATATAACTTTTCTCTGGGGGTTACCTAAAAAACCGCGTTTATGCTAACAAACCAACTAACCTAATTGCTATAAAAGATCATGTTCGTCGTGAAATGCAGAAATGGCTGTAGAAATGATCTAACAATTCTATTGGGAGCTTTTACGATAGATTGTAATCATTATAACCATACATTTGGAATGCCTAGTGCTTTTAATGAAGAAATTAGCATGTTAAAACTTTACTTAGTCTCCTGCTGGAAAAAATCTATTCCAAATGAACAGCTTCATCTACAAAAAAGACCATTGAAGATGGACGTGGCAGAGGCCGGATAAAAAAATAAGAATAAGAGCGATATTATAATCAATGACAAGACGCAAATCTTTAGATATGTTACAGTCCTAAACCAATTTTCAACAGATAGCGACTATAAAATGGTAATAGCCCCCCTAGAAATAGTCCTAGCGAAAGAAAGATGCCATATGATCAAAAAGAAGTCCAGACCTACCCAAACAGAGCTTGATAATGTAAATGCATTTGAAGAACACATCAACAATGTTCTCGAAAGCAATAAGAATACAGACCGAAATGTTAACACCCTGAATGACATTATAATAGAATCTTTAAACATTAAAAGAAACCATATAACGAAATAATAAGTACCCAAACGCAAATATTAATAGAAGATAGGAGCGAACATGAAAAATGCAAAGTAATATGAGCGAAGAACACCACGAACTGAAGATAACATGAGTCTCGAAGTTCTAGGGAGGAAATTAACAAACGGCAAAAAATAAAGACAAAAGGATGGAACTATGATCAGCAACACAAAACAATTGCTAAAGTTAGTAGAAGAGTTCTTTACAGAATTATATATAAGCCGATAAAACCATGATGAGCACCGAACAAAAAAAAAATAGATAATTCATAAAAAAGATTGTCAACCAAAGATCGGAAGAGGTGCCTGATATATCAAAAGACGAAATAAGGAACGCACCGAAGAAAATGAAAAAAAAAACAAAGCTCCGGTAGAAGACTATCGTTATATGAGCCGCAAATTTATTAAGAATGCAAAAATACCCTCACATCATGAGGAACAGCGAAAGATATGGGTTGCTGCAATTAATTCTTTAAGGAAAAGTAGAAGAAAAATGTGGACCAGGAAGGCGAAGGATTTCCTGGCTGAAAAATCTGCTGACGTGGTTCAACACAACAACCACAAATATTTTCTGGGCAGCAGTTTGCACAATACAGATTGTCATGATGGTCGCCAACATCCGAAACGGATAGGCACTACAAGAAGAAGAAGAAGCCGCAAATATTGGAGGAGAAAAACTTTTAGAGAGTATAAAGGAACTGTTTAACTTACGTTTGCACCAAAGTGAAACACCTACTAGATGGCACAGTGCACCTACCATTTTATTACACAACAGACCTCGAAAATTACCTACCTATAAGCCTTTTAAGCCACCTCTACAAGCTATTCACAACAATGATAGTATAAGAAATAGACTAAAAAATTAGATTTGCGAAAAGATTAGATTAGAAAAAAAAACTTGGTGATTATAGAAAAATCCATCGAATACAACCGACTATTGGTACTGCCTTTCGTAGATCTTCACAAAGCATTCGATGCCATAGAAATTAACAGCATAATGAAAACGTTGGAGGAAAGTCTTATAGATTATCGGTACTCCAAACTGAATGGAAACATACAGTAAAGCAACCATGACCGTATGATTTTACACAGATACAAAATGTATAAAAATCAAATACATGTCGTCTATTCCAATCAGTTGAATGTTGACGAAGAAATGCTTCCCGACCTGGGATTTGTAGATGACACAGTTCTGATAATAGATAATTTAAAAGAGATTGAAGCTATACTTACTAACTTGGATACCGCCTGTAAGGACGTTGATTTGAAAGAAAATGTTGAAAAGACACAATAAATGACGAATCTGGTACGAAGCGAAAATCCAAAAGTTGACTGCATCGAAATAGCTCAGTTCATAAATATAAATGTTCAACTTTGAACGCAGTAGAAGGCTGAATGGTGTTGATGAAAATACTATTTATCTAAAATTGAAAGGTAACGTCATACAAACTTGAAGGATCCACTAAAAAATGCAGAACACAATATCATTTGGTATCCCACAATTTCATATTTATAAGTTTAATCAAGTCAAAAATAGCACCTTGTTGTCCGCGACTCTGCACAAATGATCATAAATATTTTTTGGTTAATGCTACTAATGATTAAATGTAAATTCAGCGCAAAATACTACCCTACAATGTATTAGAAATTAATAGGTATATATATGTACAAATTTATAGTCGCAAATCTGATTGAAGAAACCTTTGTTTCCAAGCAGTAAACAGGTACATAAAGCTATCGAATGATTATTTTATTCCTTATCTAAAATTATAAATTACTAAACAACACTAATACTGGTAAAATGAGATTCTTTGTTGACAGTTGTATTCACAGTACCCATTTTATTACTAAAACTACATTAAAAGATGCCTTTAGGATTAAATGATTATAATCCTGAGATCAGATTAGTTTGTTTTGTTTCAAACGAAAACAAAATTAAAAATGGAAATTTGAAAACGTTTTCGATGTAAAAGTCTATGCAGTCCAAAATAATATGAAGAGTAAAGAATATTAAATTACGATCTTGAGAAATATAAAACAAGATACATGCAGATTGAAGATAGCTATACTGGGAATAAGCAATAATAATAAGCCGTGAGCCGTTTAGCTAAATCTGGATAATAATAACAGATAATCTCTGGATAATTCAATAACAAAAAAGGAAAAAACTACTATTCACTGACTCTGGTCTCCAAAGCTAAGTATAATGGTGATACTAGATACAAAGATCAGGAGTCGCCATTATAATTACCAAGAAACTAACAAAATCAGTAATGAGCTTCATTTCGATATCCGAAAGAAGTACATTGATGATAACCTATGAGAAACTAAATTTAATACAGATTTATGCATCAACTGGTGACAATAATAAGAAGAGTAAGAAAACTGACACATATCATCGAAGGTAAATGTGGGTCCAGAGTAAGACCATACGGACTTGGTGTTCGCAACGACAGTAGAGATTGTCTCAAAGAATCCCACCTAGTGTGGGTAAGAGGCCAGCAGATCAAGAACAAAGTAATTAAGTACATGCACCTGGGAACACTAATAACAAAAAATAAGGACTATACTGTTGCAATTGAAAAATACGTGTTTGACATTAGCCCTAACATAAATATAAGCTATAGTTAAGTAAATGAACATTTTTAGAGAACAATAAATCATTTTAAGCTACTCTTATACATTACAACTTACAACCAAAAGTATGATTTTGTATCCAACCCATTTGTTATGGGGAACTCTTCATTTGGGCGAAATGTAGGCTCCAAATCATCTGTAGTGTTTACGTCATCGACTAACATGGGTATATCGAAAGGATCCATATTCTCAGATTCGCTATTAACGTCCATAGTTGGTTGCAGGTCTTCGGAAACTGGAGGCATTGAAAGCACAGCTCTTCTAGTATCACTCTCCTCCTGTTCTGGGTGATCTGTTATATCAGGCAAAAACGAGTTTACTAAAGCAGTCATCATGTTTTCCTGCTCCTTTATATGTACATGTCTTTGTCTAAGTCTTTCTCGTTCTAAATGAAGCTCCTGCAATCTTATTTGTTGAGCAGAAGGTAGATGGGAACTAAATTCATTTCCATTCTCATCTGAGCTTGGTTGTTGTAAATGTGTAGGTGTGGTGATTCTGGGATCTAGCGAAGAAATTGAATCATCATGTTGTCTTATAATCTCTTGATGTCTTTGTTTGAGCCTTTCTCGTTCTCTTTGAAGCTCTTGCAACCGTCTCTGTTGAGAAGACGTTAGCTGGTAGTTACAATCAGTTGCATTCGCGTCCGACGTAGATTGTTGTAAAGAAATTCTAGGATCTAGCCAAGATGTTGTACGTGTTTTGTGATTGATGAAATAGGTTTCACCTTCAGACGTTTGTGCCTGTTCCCACCCGTCAGGTAACGGCTCCAAGTTCTTATTTTGGGCAACTGAATTAAAATAAAATTGATTAGAAGATATTTGTTGGTGCGTGGACAGAAGCTGTTCGGCACTATGGTGTTTCTTGGTGGATGCTTGAGCAGCTAGGAAATTTCTAGGGTGGTCCCATGTTGTTGTCCGTGTATTATGATTGATATAATAAATCTTCCCATCTCGAGTTCGGCCCTGTTCCCATCCTAAAGGTAAACGATTCTTAACTTTTGATTTCTTACTTACATCATATGACTTCTGTTTCATATGCTGTAATGGCTGTTGTTCTCTGTATGTTTCTTGAAAAGATGCTGGAGAGCTGTGAGCTCTTTGGTGAACAGGTTGTATACATGCGGAACTAACAGACGTCGAAGATGTATTACTTCCAAAAGAAGAATCTACTGAACTATCACGAGAATGGTTTATTGATTTTGATCCCGTTGTTGGTGGATTAAAAAATGAATCAGGAAGTTTTCGTTGATGCCATGGTACTTGTACGTTTCTTTTGGCATCTGGATTTAAAACACTGTCAAAAAGAGCTTGTAAGTCCTTCTCTGGGTCCACTGTCACTACTTCGTTTTTATTTAGTGCCATTATATTGACGGAGTAAAATCACTAAGTACGGACACGCCAACTAATTAAAATTGCACTCAAAATTAAACCCATAAAGGCAGAGAAAACGTTCAGACTGGGCGCGGTGGCACGTAAGCTGCTCTATACTCAAGTTTTAGTTGTTTTGATTCGTCTCCCGCACGCATGTGCAACTTGTCACCATGCTTGTTGTGTAAATAAATATTTGCTGACTGTGAAATACATATTTTTTCGGTAGTAAAAGTTTCTATTAATAATCAGTAGTTGGATCGCATGAAGTTATCACAGAATTCGCGTCTCAATCAATGAATCATCGAGATATAATCGAACATATCTTTATTGCAGAAAATAAAACTTCTGATATGCGTTTTTATAATTGTCTTTGGGCTGCAAATGTAAATATTTTATGAAAAATTATTTTAAACACAATGAAACGTTAAACATACACCATATTAAGTAAATAATTTCTATTTCTAATTAATATAAGAGATAAAATAAAGTTTCTGTTTCCTTTTAAGAAAAATTTGAGTATTTTTTATGTGATGTCAAATATATAGGTCATTTTATCTATAAGATAAATATAAGCGATTATGTTGGGTTAAACCATTCGAAGACTTTCAGTTTCTAGTTACTTATCATATCAGTTAATAGCAATTATATTAGTTACCATACTGTCTATATTCAGTTTGAAAATGATTCATAGCATAGCTGATAATCTTCAACGTAATATCATAGTCAAATATTTTAGTTAAGATTTACATATGTCTGTTTGGACCTTTAACACCTTGACTGCAGCGGTTAAATACTAATATACTAGCTCTTGCCTCACATGCCCCTGGAGATAGGTTATGGTCTATTCTGTCTGTGCGTCACATGCCCCCTATGGCATGTGTGTACTTGTAAGTGCTTCATGCCCTCTAGTACACAGAAGTATAACTTTTGCATATATTACATACAGAAAACTATTATAGAAGTATTAATCTACTTTCCTCTCAAACAGGACATGCCGCCAACATCCGGTGTAGCACAGACAGCTAAACAAATTTTGTCTTGGAGGTAATTGGATAAAATTAAAGGTGTTTATAAAAACAAAATACTTAAGATTAAAATAAACAGAGCAATCATCATCATCATCAGCCTCTCTCCATCCACTGCTGGACATAGGCCTCCCTGTTTGTCTCCAAAGTGTTCTATCTTGTGCTTGCTGTATCCAGTTTTTTGTTGTCTTTTGTAAGTCGTCTTGCCATCGTGTTGGTGGTCTTCCTCTGCTACGTTTATCGGCTCTTGGTCTACATTCAACTAGTTTGCGAGTCTATCTTCCGTCCTTCATTCTGGCAACGTGTCCAGCCCATTTCCATTTTAAGTTACAGCTTCTTTCAATGACGTTTATGACTTCGATCTTAGCTCGTAGATCTTCGTTTCTAATCCTGTCTCGCAGAGTGGCCCCTATCATTGATTTTTCCATTCTTCTCTGCGCTACTCTTAGTTTTTGTGCGTTTTTCTTTGTGAGCAATAATGTTTCTACACCATAGGTCATCACCGGTAGCACGCATTGGTCGAAAACTTTTTTCTTCATATTAGTTGGGATGTCACTCTTAAAAACGTTCCTAAGAGATCCGTATGCTGTCCATACTTGTGTTATTCTTCTGGATACTTCGGTTGTTTAATTGTCCTTACTTATCTTAATTTCGTGACCCAGTTCTATTTATATGTATATATAGTATATATGTATTTTGTTTTTGTTATATTCATTTTTTGTCGGTCAGATAGCTCAGCGGGCTGTGCGGCTGCCTCTCATTCGCTTCACTGTCGAATGGTTCAGTGGATGTGGGTCGAGCCCCAGCTCGGTGTACGGAAAACAAAAAGTCTAACGCAGCAGTTTAAAATTCCAGATGAATCTGCGGCTTAGACTAGGATATGCTGGGATCTGATCGGCCTATGGTGGAGCAGTACGGCAAGAGATAAGGGCTTGCGGCTCGGTGATACTCCTCCATAGATCCCTACCGGACGGGCGTAACGCCTAAAAAACCGGATATATATATTCATTTTTAAACCTATTTTATGACAGGCTGTACCAAGTTCTTCCAACATTTTCTTTGTCCCAAATCGTCTGCAATCAGGACTATATCGTTTGCGTAGCTTATTAGGTGGTGTAGCATCTCTCCGTCCACATTTATTCCTTTGTCACTCCATTCGAGGGTTTTGATCGCTTTTTCTAGAGCCGATATGAAAAGTTTAGGTGACAACGCATCACCTTGTCGGATACCTCTTTGGATTTTTATTTGGTTGCTGTTAGCGTGTAGCTGTATCGAGCTTGTCTCATTTATATATATATATATATATATATATATATATATATATATATATATATATATATATATATATATATATATATATATTAGCCTCGAATATCGGCTATCAACGCGGCTTTCGTTTAGTGCCTCTATAACACTGTCGAGTTCTACTGAGTCGAATGCTTTGTGGAAATCTACGAGTGTTAAAACTAAGGGCTTGTTATATTCTATAGAGTTTTCGATGAGTTGTTTTATTGATTGGGGGTTTGCTAGATTGCTAGAAAAGCCATGATGAAACTGATAGCAATTTGGAAAAATTCTAGCATAACAATACACACAAAACTAAGGCTGGTAAGGGCGCTCATTTTTCCCATAGCCACATATGCATCCGAAACGTGGACCTTATAGAAAGCGGATAAAAATAAACCGGACGCTTTTGAAATGTGGGTATACCGCCGCATATTGAGAATATCCTGGATTGATCATCGCACTAATGTATCGATACTAGAACAAATTAAAGTAAAGGGTATATTGCTTAAACAAATACAACAGAGATATTTGCAGTATTTTGGACATATTGCTAGAAGAACAGGCAGGATGGAAAAACTGATAGTCGAGGGTAGAGTTGAAGGAAAAAGACCTAGGAGAAGATCTTCAAGCCGTTGGGTAGATCAAACAAAAACATTGATTAACCAAGGGTTACATGAAGCCGAACAACTAGCCCAGGACAGAGAAGGGTGGAGGGAAATCCTAAAAAAACTGTGAAGGCCTGATGGTGTCACCACATCCCAAAAGGGATTAGGACTGAGGAGGAGGAGGCAAATGATCGTTTGGTGTAATAAGCCTTGAATGTTCTAATGACTCCCTGATCCAGCGGCTGAAGTAAACTGGTTGTATTAGGTGGCAAAAACTTAATTTTCACACGTAGGTCAAAACTAGTTAAAGTTGCAGGAGGATGACGTGGAACGTTGTCGATAATTAGCATCACTTTAAATGGAATTTGTTTAGATTGATAATAACGTTCTTCAGGTATGAAATGATGACCAAACCAATCCTCAAAAAGGGAAGCTGTCACCCAAGCTTTACGATTAGACGTCCAAATTACAGGCAAGCAAGATTTAGATTATTTATTTTTTAGTGCCTTTGGATTTTCTGAGCGATAAACTAAGAGTGGTTTTATCTGGCAATCACCAGCTGTATTTGACCCCATCATCACTGTCAATCGATCTTTGGCAGCCTCAAAACCTGGAAAGGTCTCTCTTCACGTGCGATGAAAGTTCTCTTAGGCATCTTCTTCCAAAACAGGCCAGTCTCATTTACATTGAATATGGTTTGTTTGTGTAGCCATATTTATCTATTATGGCTTTTAATTTCTGTGTATAACAAGATGCAAGCTCTTTATTAGCACTTGCCACTTCTCCGCTTTCTGCAATGCTATGCCAATTACAGTGACTTTTGAATCGGTTAAACCAACCGTTACTAGCTTTATGCTGTTCATCCTTAGCGATTTCTCCAGCATCCTCTTTCAATCTCTCAAAAATTAGCTTAGCTTGAGAGCACACTGTATTCTGAATCAATTGGACAATTTTTAACATTTACCTCATTATCACACCATAATTTGACATTGTCTCCATTTCGGCGATAATACCATGACGGTTACGTACGATTGGTGTACGAATTGTTCTGACCGTTGATTCCGATAGATTAAACTTCTTTGATAGTTCACAGAATTTTATTTTTGATTCAAAATCTGTAATTACGTTAAGTTTACATTCCAAAGATAACGTTTTCCTTTTCTTATATGTTACACAAGGATCAGTTTTACTTCGTTTGGATGACATCATTGTTTTTTCAAGTCTTCAATAGATATACACAGTAGATATATAAAAGTAACAAACACCCACTCCGTAGACAAAACTGTAGATAAGAAATACCTCATATAAAATAAATGTGCTGATTTCGTGTGAAAAGTCAAAACATGAACTTTGGATGAGCAATAATGTGTGGACGGTATTTCTATCTAATCTATAATCGAACGATTGTGTGGCACTCATATGACGAATTGACAAGATTTGAAAATCGTGTAACTCTGGATTCGCTTAAGTCGGAGTATAGCCAAGATAAGATGTTTTACGTTTTTTAATAAATTCGACAAGTTCCCACAGAACGAATAGCACGAGATAAGTCACCAAATGGACGAAGAAGTATAAGCAGACCAAGAAAAAGATGGTGCGACAATTTATGAGGCTAATATCGAAGAAGAAACAGGCTTTAAAGCGTATATACTAGAAGGAAGAAGACAACTTCACCATCTATATTCATACGTCTAAAAATTTCTTCATTTCCAACATAGTCAATCCATGAAATTTTTAGAATTAGGCTTAAAATTCACATCTCAAAGTTTTCCAGACGTCGCATCATAACGAGCTAATTGTCAACTCCTGTTTCATTTCTTAGTCCTTAGAAAAGGAAATAAAGAGGACAGGTAACACTCATTTAAATGAACCTTCGAAAAGTGAAGCCAGTTTCGATGTGACCGACATGTTTGGTGCCTGTACGTTACCCATTACTACCTCTCCGCAGGTTTACCAGATCTACTGTTTTTTTTACTAGATCTATTGATTTTAACTTAAATTTTCTTATTTACTGAAACACTATGTCGATCTACTTAAAAATATGTAATGATAAAATCATGTTCAAAAAATCATTGTATCAGTATTCTGCCGTTTCTTTTTTGTTGTCACAGAAACGACACTTCTCATTATCTGTATCTGATTTGTTCATTTTTTTGAGATGATACAGGGG